GTGTCAGGTAATAATTATGCATTGTAATCTTTCTCTAGATATGTGTATTGCTACTCTGTATATATTTTTGTATAAAATCAAGCTGTGTCTTATAACAGAGCGCAGAGTGTAATGTATGAGTAGAAATATCATGTTACTACTTCTCCATTAAGGCATGGACAAACATGCACTTTCACATATTATACCCCCAGTTCTATAAATAGAAGAGTATTTTATGCGAAATAACTAATCAATGAGGCATATTATTGTTCATTACTGTGCACATTCTCTCTCTTTTCTCTATCTCTCTCTATCCCATTTCTCCTTTCATACGCTCTAATCACTTAAGTTGTGGTTCTCGGACTATTTCGAATTCACCAATTAGCATTACCCTCAATTTTGTTTTAACAAAAAGTTAGCTATATAAGAAACAAAAATACTTTATATATTAAATATTTAAAGTTCTATGTGTAAAAAAAAAAAAAAAACATGTAAAGAAGAAATTAAGTAATGTCATAATCCACCAACGTGCATAAGCTTTAAAATGTTTAATTACTGCCCTAAACTTAATATATCCATATTATTAAAATTTTGATGCATTTTCCTCACCTACTAAACATTAGAATAATGTAAGATACTTAACCTCAAACTCTTTTGTCAATTAGTGCTTACAATAAGCCACCTAGGATGACCCAAACAATAACTAACTTTAACAATAAATTTAATTATATATACATGTGGAATAAAATAAATCAATATTAATATTTATGCTACTTGAATTTATTGAAAAAGTAAGAAATATATTACAATAAATATTAGATATTGTAACAAACAAACCAAATCAACCAAAAAATATTGATAATTTTTTTTTTCAACCAATTAATGCCAAGCCCTAATCTTATTGTCATTGAGAGTTTGTTCATCAAATCTTAACTAACAACAGATACATGCATCATAATCATAAACAAAAATGAATGAAATGATATTAATAATTGCATAAGCTTCAAAATAATTGATGTGATTGAGCACTTTCATCCTCCAAAAGGTATCTAAATTAGATAAACACAATTTGATGTTGATTATTTTAGCTAATGTGATTGTTACACATGATTTATTATTTATTTTATGAAGTTAAAAAAAAGAAGAAGGTTTAAGTTGTATTTCATCATTTAAAAGTTAAAATGGTTGTAATTTTTTATTGGGATATGAAAGATTCGAGGGTTACAAATGTAAAAAGTAAGACATAAACACATAATTAATTAGTTAATTACCAACATATAAAAACCCATGAACACATAAAATTAGGGACATTTACATACATTGCATTCAATGCTTATGTATTTACTAATTACCAACATATAAAAACCCATGAACACATAAAATTAGGGACATTTACATACATTGCATTCAATGCTTATGTATTTACGTATCTAACACCTAAAGTTTGATAGTTACTTCTATCACATTGTGGTATTAAAATCATATGCATGAGGAGGCATATTGAACTTTCAAAAGGAGAGTGATGAATGAGGATGCTACTCTTTGATGTGATGTCAAATATTTGAATGATATGTATGTAAAAATATTAAAGTTTACATTTTAGATATGAAAAAAATATAAAAATTTTGGGGTATGTATATATTTAAATGCCCCCTTTATCAGTTATATAATTTATCGGTATACTCAACAATTCAATATTTATAATAAACCATATTTTTCTTCTCATGCCTTCATAAATCATAGCAAAAGAATAATAATAATAATAATAATAATAATAATAATAATAATAAAACTTATAATGCATTAATTCATAATGAAATGAACTTAACATTCTTCATATTGATGCCATACTACCCACTAACATAAATAAAAATGAAAAATTTGTCTCACATTAAAATTCATAGCATAAACATTTTGATTAGAGAAGAGTGACTTTTAATTGTTGTCCCTTTGGTTATTTTAGAATTTGCAATAACCAAACAAGAAGCTTTATTAGAAAAATGGTAGCTCTATGAGTGGGAACACAAGCTCAAGTCAATAGCTAATGTGAACCCAAATCAAATAATAGTAAACATTAGGTGCCTAAAGTCCTAACTCCAACTAAAATGATGGGTGTTAGGTAGATAATTATAGGTTCAATAAATATTAGAATTTGGTTTATTAACTAAAAAACTTTAGTGCCATGACTATTTTACTCAAAATTCTTAAATATGGACTATATTAAAAAAAAAAAAAAAACTTAATACATATTACATCTTCCCCTTTTCATTGATAATTAGTGGAAGGCAACATCAATTCTTTTGGAAAATACAATAGGAGATGGCCACATAAACCAATGAGTTATTAGCCATCTAGCTTGGTTAGCCTTGTACATACAAGTAATGATGCCATTTGTAGAAAAAAAATTACAAATTAACTTATCTTAATATATAAAAATTAAACTAATTATCCATATTTTAATCATGTGTTTGATATTATGGTACAAATAATCTGCTTTTAATGTTTATTTAATATATAAATCATATTTATACACTAATAAAATAAATATTTACCAGTTTGCATTATTTCCATAATGATATTCCCATTGATTTGCGGCCAAGTATTCCAATGTCTCTTTCCATAATTTGCACATGTGGCTGAATATATATACAAGTGCTTGTGTATTAGTACTGCTTAATTATAGTTTAGCTTAAATGAAACCATAATTTGTGAGTGTTGCTTCCTCTAGATGATCTAATTCACACCAGCCAATGATTTGATTTAGAGCTTAATTAATAAAGTCTTGTCAGATTTGTTTACTCCAATCTTAATTCAATTAAGATTTGCAAACACTGGATTTAATTATTGAACTAATAGATGTATGCTATATTACAAGGATGGTATAATAAATAATGAATATAAGTTGTGTTGAGTATTTATATTTTAATCACAAAATATGTAATAATAAAGGATATATTTTTTTCTTTTCTTCTTATTTCATAACAATAAAGATTGTGTACATCTATAAATTATGTCGAATATATATATGAAATAACATTATGAGAGAATAATTGAATCAGATATTTCCTAAATTTGCTTCTAAGTCCTAAAATGTCCAACTTATATTATGTGTTAATAGTTTCACGCCATGTAATCAAGCTATCTCATATTTGTTGTGTTAGCTAATAATAATGCATAATAATCTTTTTCTAGAGATGTGTACTGCTACGTCGTATATATTTTTGTCGAAAATCAAACAGTCTTAAAATAGACGAGCAAAGTGTAGTGTATGAGTGGGTGCAACATCTAAAGATGCAAAATAAATATGCATCAAATTTAAGTAGATGCAAAGATATGATGTAAAGAAACGTTGTTTGGAATGAGGAAGAATGATTATTACATTTTATGGTATGTTTATTGTCAACTACATTTAGTACTTTTTAGAACAAATGCTATATTTTTTTTAATCAATTATAATCTTATAAGATGCTAATGTTGAATGTTAAACATTAATGATTTCATTGAGGAATACATGTAATGATGAAGAAATTCTAGAGATAACTTATAATTGTTTAGATAAAGACACTAGTTCATATGTATATACTTAATTTAATGTGATTATTACATGCTCAAGTAATATTATAATATAATTTGATTATTTTTAATTTTTTATTAAAGTTGCCATCAAGAAGAGGTAACGCTCCTCGTAGGGTATATAATCATTTATATTTTAATCAAAAAAACAAAAGACTACTTAAAAACAACATAGAAAGACTTTATCATACCACATCATCAACTCTCAATCTAATATCTCATAGTCTAGCATATCTATCCATGAATCTTACAAAAGCCACTTCATTTTATCCATATTCATCATATTCTCCACTACATGCTAACTCATCCATCTATTTTCATTCATGTTATATACAACCCAACAATTATTCTTCTCCACTGCTACCACCATATCATATTGAACCTTCCACCTCAAGTGAAATTGATGATGTTGATTGAAATTCATGTTGGGCTATTTTTTGGCTCCCCAAAAATTATTTCTCCATGATTTCTTTCCCGAATGGATCAAAATCTACAAGAAATTCATAAGAAAATTAAATTATATATAGATTATGAACAATTATCACCATACTAAAGAAAGCATTTGGTAGCTGTTTTACATGCATGTGATTTTTTATGGCAAAAAAATGTGTATTTTTTATAGTGTTTGTCCCAACTATTCCTACATTTGTATATCTAGTATCACATTGTAGACTTCTCTAAATATCTTTGTATTGGCAGAAATACAATATCATTTCCTTGACTTGTCAACAACAAGAAGCTAAATCGTAAGGTTATTCCAATGGCTTATGAATTATCATAGATGAATTTAACATGTAGTATAAGAGATTAATTAAATTGATTTCCATAAAATAAACTATTTCTCATATTAAGATATCATAATAGGCGTATATTTATTAAATCAAATGCAAAAGTTAATCTATTTTGTGAATGACTTTCCTCCCTACTTAAAAATCCTCAAAGATTGAATAATAATAATAATACTAAAAAAACTAAAATGATTAAATAAATTATACATCGAGATATTCTTCTCCTTTGTGGGAGAAAACTATAGACAAACACAAATAACTATTTAACATTACTTGGTGGATTAAGACTTTGCAATTAAAGACAAAAAACAAGGTGGATCATCTTTCTCATGCATTAACATAGGAGCCATTCGTGAGAACTTCATATCAATACATATATAAGACACAGCACAAACATTGACTATTCTCTCTCTCTCTATTTTCTCCTTACCTTGCTTTCTTTATTGGATGTTTGGTAAAGAAATAGAATCTTTCAGTGTGAGAGAACATCACTGATTGGTTAAGACTTCGCCTCTCATCATCACCATCACCAGAGCCCTCTATTTCTCGCAGCCCCATATATATAAGTTCTTGACCATCTTAAGCTGCTCAATATAAATATGTCATAGCTTCAGTTACCAACAATATATACAGAGGTCAGACAGATTAAGAGAGAAAGAGATGGGTCGAGGGAGAGCTCCTTGCTGCCAAAAGGTAGGCCTAAACAAGGGCTCGTGGACGCTCGAGGAGGACCGCCGCCTCATCGCCTATATTCACAAGAATGGCTATGGAAACTGGCGAGCACTTCCTAAGCAAGCAGGTGATCAATTTACCTTTTTTGTTTTTCTTATTTTGTCTGATAAGTTTGGTAATATTTAGGATGAAACAGTGATTGATCATTAAACTATAAAATGTGTTGCATGCATGTATATATATAGGCTTATTGCGTTGTGGTAAGAGTTGTCGTCTTCGATGGATCAACTATCTTCGCCCTGACATCAAGCGCGGAAACTTCACGAAGGAGGAAGAAGACACCATCATCAACCTCCATGAATTGCTTGGAAACAAGTATGTCAACATCACTTCATAACTTAAATATTTATATAAATTTACATTACATAATATTATTATATATATTTGATCATATGTGTAGGTGGTCTAAGATTGCAGCATGCTTGCCGGGGAGAACTGACAATGAGATTAAGAACGTGTGGAACACACACCTCAAAAAACATCTCAAGCTCAAAACCCCAACACCACCACCACCACCACTGCCAACCAGTATGACCAAAGCGCATGAGGACTCTTTAAGTCCCACTTCCGCTTATACAATTTCTCACGAAACTAGTAGCAGTAGCACCAATGGATTAGAGATGATACCCATCGAGCCACACTTCTACATGCTGGATATATTAGGTGATGTCTCTATGTCAACACCATCATCATTGATGACGACGACGACAAATCATACAAATAACAACCTTGAAATCCCTACGAAACAGTGCCAACAATGGTTGGCCGATTTAGAAATAGAGTTAGGGTTATATGTAGACGGTGACGATGATAGTGACGAGATTACAAAGAGGGTGGAGGTGATGGTAAGAGAGGGAGGAGATCCGGTGAGGAATTATTTTCATAGGGAGGCTTCCTCCCCATCCACTATAGACCAAGTTGATTTTAACTCTCTTAATTCATTGTCTTGGACTAAGTTTGTTGACTTTGAATTGAATGAGTCCACATCATAATTTGAACACTTTCATAAGGCTTTATGCCTAAATTATGTCTGTAAACGTGTAAACATGTTCAAATATTAAATTTGAATGACATTATATGATTATTATGGTTAGTGATGATATCATTGCATTCGTCATGTTTGCTTCTGAACAAGACATGTTATCACGTGATAGATTAAAAGTCGGTAATATTTTAATATTAATTAAATGAAGTGCAGTCTCAAATTTGGATTCTTTTGTATGTATGTATGTATGTATGTATGTATATATATATATATATATATATAGGAACATTAAAGCTCTAGCTAATAATAGCATGGAAATATTTTTAATTGGGGAAATTGACATAAATACCACAAAATTGCTATGTATTTACAAATCTAACACCCAAAGTTTGGTATTTACACTTACTAGCATCTTTGTGATATAATCCTATGCACTAAAGTATTATATATGTAATATCAAATTTTAGAGTTAGGTTGACTTGAAAGCTCAATAGCTATGTAATTTGGAGATTGGGAATGTGTGTGTCATTCAATAGAGTACCCTCAGATTATTTTCATGCCTTGATTTTTTTTTTTTCTATTTAAGAAAACAAACCTATGATGCTTCAAGACCTTAAAAGGTTGGGGATTTTTATTCCTTGGTGAATTTGTTAGCTTGGAATGAGTATTAGTATAATGTATGCCTTAGCATACATATAAGGTGTTACTCAATCAAGACCATGAGATTAATTAAAATTGCCAAGGTAAGCATTATATATTTCACTATCTTGTTCAATCAACCTAATCTATATCACAAGACTTTGAGTGTAGGGATTTATTGACACCATTGGCATTTGTTTGAGTTCAATTGAAAATCGTGTGGGTTAGCACAATTTTTAATGTTCCAACACGATATCAAAAATACTAAAACACTTATAAAAAATGAGTCATTAAAGTTGAAATAGAATTCACTCTTTATCAATTTAAAGTACACAACTTGAAGAGTTGATCTTAGGCCCCGTTTGGGGAGATTATTTCCCGCAGTGCGGTGCGAAAACGTTTAACTGTTTGTTTGGCAATTGCGGTAAAGCCGCTTATTTGGATAATTTGAAACTGCGATGAGCCCGCTTATGTGCTTAGTTTAACCCTGCGACCCGCGTCTATTCACGATTCATTTATGGGATTATCTCGTTGTTTAGTCCCGCAGACCACTCACTCGAGCCCTCCCCTCTCTTGTGATTGTTGCCCTAACTTTCCTCTCCCAATCCCCTTGAATCCATGGCTCCAGTCAGTAGGGCTTGGCTCGCTACCC